GGTTGTTGATCACGTGACTCCCGTGATGCGAAAAAAGTGTTTCCATTGCAGTTTTGTGAAAAACACCAATTTTGATACGGAGGAAAAACCGCCTCATCYTAGAGCAAAAACATTTTGTCGAACATTTTGTTTTTGACATTGACGTGTTTCCATTGAGCAAATTTATTTTCGAAAATCTAATTTGCGCATTTTCATGGTCAGTGGAAGCACAGCTAATGTTTACTGCTGTTAGAAGAAGAGGAGATGGTTGGTCCTGTTATAACATTTTGGAAATTTGCTGCTGCCATTATTTTCCACAAAAATGTCAAGTTTCAGCATTTGATAAGACTACTGTTCCATTGTGAATAAAATATGGGTTTATGAAATTTGCAAATCACATTTAGATTTTTTATTTTTTTACATTTTTGCACATCTTAACTTTTTCAGACTTGAGAGGGGTGTGTCAAAAACATTTTGAATTTGCAATCTATCTGTTGGGGGACAGGGGGCGCCTTTTATCACCACCAAAACTTTATWACGCCCTCTGTAGAAAATTCTCCAAACCTAATTTGAAGCCTAAGTTTTGTTGATAAATTATTTATTACATCTCCTGTCTTCATTGCTAACAGCTAACAGCTAAAATATTCCTGGTTAAAAAATAATAACATCTCCCTTTTTAGTTGATCCCATTTAGTTTACAGGCATTAAAAAAGTTTTTTTTTCATTTGCAGTCAAACTTAATTTTTTRCCCTTCACTGACCAATAAATGACACTGTAATGCGTCTGAAATGAAAATTCTCCCATGTACAATTCTAGCAAGTAAAAAACAATAACAGCTTGAAGTGACTCAGAGTTTGGACTGTGATAATCTGTCTCTGAGGCACAGTTTGACCTCTTCATATGTTGGACTCTCCAGTGAGCTGTCCACTCCGAGAACCCTGAGGGGAGACAATCACATCATGAAATTACAGTAAGTAGTTTTCATTTGGGAAAAGTTATTCATCGGTTTTGGAGCTAAAATGGTGTTAAAACCAAGGACGAAAGCAGTTTGGGGAAAAATGCAGCCTTGTCTAAAGTGACATTTAAATTGAATCAAAAGGGAGTTTTTAAAGCAAGACTTACTTGTGATTGACTGCTCGAGGGATTTGTGCTGCTGTAGTCCGAGTAGCTCTTCTTCTGTGGTGTACAGATGCAGGACAGCAACTGAGCATACTCGTCTCTCACCTGCAGATGGCAGAGGAACATCAAGAGAATCATCCTGCTGCTCACTAATGCAGCTTATGTCTCATTTTTTCCACCAATTATTTACAGAYGATTTTAATTTGTATCTGTGTATAATGCTTCGATTAGTTTAGCTCCATGGTCACAGGCATCCGTTAAATCCTACCTGTTTGGACAGCAGGCAGTGCATGATGAAGACCAGGGCACCCTGCAGGCTGTTCAGGATTGTGAAGATATACGCCACTGCTATCATGTCCTTATTAAACAGGAAGGCTCCGAACACCCACATCAGACCAAGGATACACATCTGGGCTATGGCGGTCACAGTGAAAGCTCTGTGCAGAAACCAGTTCAAGAAAGGAAGATTTCAAAAGAGTGACTCAGTGGTTGGTTGTGTGGAAAACCCCTGAAGAGATACAGGAAATAAAAGAAGACTCAAACATTGTTCATGGCTTCATCCGCAGCCGAAACCTTTAAAAGATTTCAAAGAAAAAAGCTAAAAAAAGGTAAAATGAATCCCTCTGCTTTAAAGTCTGCAGACTTTTACACATGTATTGAAAATGTTCTTTGTAGATTTTATGAATATCTACTTTGCAAAACAGGTTTTAAATTTGCATTCTTTAAATCAACAAGTAGTTTTTTAAACTAATTTCACCCAATGAACCAAAAAAAAAAATCCCCTCATCAAAGTAATAAGATCTGAAATGTGGACAGGATACGTTTTTTAAATTCAAAAACATTTAAACTTTGATTTATGGCTTTTCCTCAACAGAAA